TCTGCTGTTTCTGCTAAACGAAATGTGAGGGTTGGAGGTAGTGCTTAAAAGTTGGGCAGGTGTTTGAAAATGTGCAGAGGTGGTGGTTCTCTTAAGAAATGAAAAATAATGAAAGAAAAACAAAGAAAAAAATGAAAGCAAAAGAAAGCCACCACCAAAAATCTGAGTAATGCCTAGTAAGTAGTGTTTCTTAGCAGTCTGGCTTAGAAATACTAGCATTTATGTAACCTCCTTCGCTCGTATGCTCTGAAGAATTTGAGTAATGCAGAAAAGCAGAAAGAAAGTTATTGGTTTGTTTGACTGCGAGTTTGTTGGGTTTGGAAATGTGGAACCTTGTGCTGTATGAATACTTCCACCACCTAAAAGGCCTTTTCCCCATGTCCAAGACCCTAGCCAGTCATCTGAACCTGTGTCTAAGACCTCCGGATTAGTTAGTGGTGACACCTCATATGTGAACTCTAGCACTTAGAGGCTGCATTCATGATGAAGAGATGTTAGGGATTGAGAGATTAAGCATGCGCATTTTTCGCATCAATTGTCCTGACCCCACTGGTCGAGAGTGAGCGATTCATTTTCTCTTATTCCCTATACTCTTTACCCCGGTGAGGACCTAGATTGCTTGGTCTTAATTCTGATATCTTGAGCTTTGTGCATGAAGTGACTGTTTTGAATAAGTGGTTGAGTCAAGTCTATGTTGGTTGGTGAACAGAAGGGAGACTCTTCCTTTGCTCGATTTTACTGCATTCGAATGTCATCTGTGGTGGTTGTCTAGGTTGTCATTGAGGTTGTCCATGTGTTAATGATCGATAGCCAGTAACAATCTGCAAGTAATGTTTGGATAACAGTTAGAATATGATCTTCTTAAGGGAAAACAACTGCAGATAACTGAGAGGACTACATCCATCTAGATTCTCATTTTGGTGTCTCCTATGAAACCACAGGGGAAGAAACCGAGCAATGGGTCGTGGGAGTTGTTATAAGGTAGGGAAAGGCAGTAACAATACCACCATATATACAGTTTAAGGGGAAACAACTGCATATATATATATATTCAGCACTGGGTTACTACTCACCATTCCTACAATACCTAGTAGTTTATATTACAAAAGGAAAAAGGGACATTATTATATAACAGACCACCAACTCATAATTGCCTTAATCTTCTCCTGCTCTTCCTCTCTCTCTATATATATATAGCAAAGGCTATCTTATGTCAGTCGTACGCTATATGCCTGCGTTCACACCTATTTTTTGTACATGGATAATTCTGACAAATCAGTTGGTTTTCATTTTGAGATTAAATGAATATTATGGTTTGGGTTAGAGAATTGGGGACTGGGGTTCACCCATTAGAGGTTAGGGTATAGTATCATGCCCCAAACTCTGGTTAATTCATGGTCTAACTAACAAAATTTAACGGGCGTACGGTAAAGTAAGCGTACGACTGACGTACACTAGGCTGAACCATATATATATATATATAAATTTATGTGGCTTGGCCTATTCTTATTTTATCTTTCGCACTACGAACAAAACTTTACTTTGTGTTGACAATGACCATTAAATTGAATCACATAAAAGTCTCAGTAGATAAGTAGAAATTCTACGAGGGTTAATAACATATATATTAATCAAGAAGTTAAAATTATAAAAAAATTGATTTAAACAAATTTTAATTTAAACAAGAAATTAAAATTATAACAACTTGATTTCACGGACTAGGTGGCTTCTGTGATAGTCTTTCGAATTCAAGATCCTCGGCTCAAAGCTTACTAGAAGCATTTTTTTCACTTTTGTTTAACTGAATTTTAAAATAAAAATATATCTTATAACTAATGGTTCACAACTTAGAAAGATCATCCTTAAAATTTATTTTCTGAAACACAAAACCTAAAACTAACTTAGTTGAACTTGGTTGCAACTTACAACATGTACTTATAAATAATAATCATTGAGACACTTATATCAAAATCTAAAATGATTTTAGGTTAGGAAGTTTAGGATTAGGACTTATGTTCTTCACAATAATATAAAATTTAAAATTGACTTAACCTACGTTCTTCACATAACCTAAGTTCTACCAACAATTTCATGACATGTAATTAGAGTTCAGGGTTTAAGGTTAATGCATAGGGGATTACAATCATAAACACTATGTTTGGCAACAAGAGAGGTGTAAATTCGAGGTGTGGAGGGGGGGGGGGGTGAATTACAAGAGGGTGCAAGTTGAGGGAGGGTGCAAGCGGAGGGGTAAATTGTTGTTTAGATAAAAAAGTAGGGGCTAAAAGTGAGTAATTATATTATTATAAAATAGATTTATCACAGTTATAAAATATTATCACAAAATAAAAGAATAGATAATAATAAATATAATTTAATAAAATATTTATTATATAATAATAATCAAGTACTAATTAATTATAACAATTGTAATAATCACTGATCGAGCGATCTCGAAGCTCGGAGTCCAACTCGTAACTTGTCATCCTACATGATTCTCATATATAATTTAACTTTAAATTGAATATGGCCGAACTTAGTCAAACACGTTCGAATATGTAAGTTTTAACTATATAATCAAGTAAACTAAATCAACCAAACTGTTCATTGCTACCTTTTCCATGAGCACTTCTTATCTCTAAATTCCAATGCAAATTTGACTAGACGAACATTGATAAACTTACTCTCAGAGTCAAATGGTCAACCCCGAACATATCTACATAAAAACAGAAATTGATAATATTAATTTAATAATATTCAAAAATAATTTCCCTCCTCTCTTCCCCCTTCTTCCTTCCTTCCCTTGCACCACAATTCGGGGTAGGCCGAAACAGTAATTCTGCACCCCCATTCTGCACCCACTACTATTACAAATTATTCAAACGGGTGCAAATGTCTTGAAAACTGTGTTAACTCTCTCATTTGCACCCTCCTCCCATTTGCACCTCTTCCCAAACATAGTGTTTTAGAGTTAGAAAGATTAGGACGTATGTTCTTCACAATAACCAAATATAAAATTGACTTAACTTATATTTTTCACATAACATACGTTCTACCAATAATTTCATAACATATACCTACAATTCATGGTTTAAGGTCAGTGTATAGGGTATAGGGTCATGGTTTAGATAACATATAGCTACATTCTTCATGTTTATGCTTTACGATTTAGTGGTGTATGGTTTATGATTAAGGAGTAGTGGATATTTGATGAAAAACTCCATTGACCATAAAGAAATATGTAATGGTAGAATGGGTGGTCGTTTTTAACATTTCAAATTTCATCTAATGAATTTTATGTATCTTTTTAAACTAAAAACATTCAGAAACTTAAAATCTTAAAAGCATATGACTTTCCAATAAGATTAAGTAACCCACTAACTCTTCCATTTGTATTTCTTTGCTGATAGATATTTTGGTTTTATATTTTTATTATTTAATTTGTGTTTAACAATTAATTTAACTATTGGGTAGAAATACACATTTCCTATATTTGGAAAACTTGAGAATGTATATCGTAAATATATCATATTCAAATGACATTACGACCAACGGATTAGATAACAAACTATCGGTGTAAGATTTATCATCTATTGAAGGCAAAGGGTTCATACAACAAGACCACACGACCACACTGCACGGCCATGTAACTTCCATGTCTGGCCATGTAAAACCTTAAACTTCTCCTCGATCGTCCTAACTTCGTCCAATTGACCCTGAATTCATGTCCAAACCTCCATTCACGTAATAGGACCTGAAATATCACCAACAAGAACAACCTAGCGTGAAATCGGTTTAAAACATGAGAAACGAGCTTCAAACAGTATAAGAATGGTGGTTACAAATGTGTGTAAATATCGAGTTATCACAACCCGATCAACCCACAAGTCATTTGAACCCGAACAGAACCCGCCCAAAACCGCCCGATTGACACCTATAGCTTCAATTGACGATTCACCATGTGGGAGATCATAACTTTTGTCCAACAATTGACCCAAAATCAAGATGTTACTAGTCATATTCGGGACATAATAAACATCAACGATATAGACCTTGCAAATCAGGACCCGACCCTACCCGTTGAGATTATTATAACCCGAAATTCAAATGACCCGAACCTGATTAACCCGTAGTTTTTGGGTCGAGTTGAATGGTTTGTGGGTCGACCCTCTAGACCCGTTCCATTGCATATGTCACTCTCAAAATGATACATCATTCATAAATTAGTGAGATGTTTAAAGAAATTCATAAGGATTTGAAATACAAGTTTGGTATATTGTAATGGTATTAATTTCGTGATTCTTTTTTGCCGATTTGTGCGTTCATATTTCTTTTCATTAGTATTAAAGGAGTTGAGCATTTGTTAATTGACATGTGCTAGGTAAACTACTGCCACAAGCATGTAAAAAATTGTATTCCTTAAGAATTTATGAAGTTACCTCAGCCTCATCCTCTATTTTGACATCCTCCTCGGGTAGTTTCTTTCTCTTAAGTTGTAGCTTTCGTGGCTAACACTTGCCCTGATCATTCTCCATTTCCATTATCTAGCCTTTCCTCCCGTGCTTGTAGTGCGTCGATTTGCTTCTTTCATGGTTTTTGTTTTGGGAGAAGGGTATCGATCGACAAAGAGTTGGGAAGAGTAGGGACTTTTAGTTTTTCTTATTCTTTGTTTTGCTTCTCTGATATTTTCATGTTAGGCCTTTTCTTCTATTAATTATGTATGTATTAATTTTCTCTAACATGCTGATGCATGAGATAGGTTTTGTGTTTTAAAAAAGGTATTCTGGTAGCTAGGACAAGGTATCAGACCCATGAACTGTATGAAGTTTTTCATGCTATTCCTCTTTTTTACAACCCATTTAAGATAATGAAGAGAGGTGCATGCTTCTGGACGGAACAAGTTAAATGGTGATAGGAGAAGGAGAAGGAGAAGGAGAAGGAGAAGGAGGAGAATGCTCGTTCTCGATCGGGTGTTGAATTAAATGATGATAGGATCGGTCAAGACCAAATTAATTTTATATATATATATATCATACTCAACAAGTAGAACCGCCACATCATACCAAAATACTAATACATATGAATTGAACCGCCACATCATACCAAAATACTACTACAACCGCCACATCATACCAAAATACTAATAGAACCGCCACATCATACCGAAATACTACTACATATGAATTGAGCCGCCACATCATACCAAAATACTACTAGAACCGCCTAGCGTACTGCCAGGCGTGACGGCGACGATAATGTTCATTCAACTTGTCCATGACACAAAAGGCACGCTTGCAATAGACACAGGTGAAGTTCGCGTTGTACTTCTTTTGGCAGCTGGTGTCGCCATTTTGTTGGTGGGAAACAACCCCGTGGTCATCCTCAATAACAATGCCGCACAAGTTGCACCAAGGCGACACATCATAGAATCCTTGATGGTGGTCGTCCCTCTCGTGCATCATACGGTCCCAAGCAGTAGGAAACTCCCTAGGGCAGCCACCGCACCGAAACACTTCTGGAGGAGGAGGAGGAGGAGCAGCGTCGGCGTCGGCGTTGTTCGCAGCCATTGCGGATCTTCAACTCTTCAAAATTTTCAAAATGGTGTTAGCTCAAAGTCTTGTTAATTATGTGTCATGCACTTATATATATTCAAATTCCTCATGCAGCTCATATTTATTTGGGTAGTTGGATTGCACAAATTCAACGGTGGTGGATTGCATGTGAGAATTTTACCCCCTAGCTAATATGTACTCACATGAATGGTGTTGATGTGAGATCTCTGTCTTGCCATTTTTATATAGTTTTAGTTTAAATTATACGGGAATTGCTACTTTGCTCACCTATATTGCCTATTTGTAATACGTTAGTCACTCGAATCACTTTCCCTCCAATTTAGCCACTGATGATACAAGTTTATGTCATCCTTGGTCACTTGCCTTCTAGAATAGTTCAGTCTGTCCTACTTGGTCGTCAATAGTTATGCTTGACTATTAAAATGGTGATGTGATAATTAAAATAAATAAATAAATAAATAATACTTATGTTTGACAATCAGTGACGTGGCAGCAACCTAAAGATCCTCACCACAGAGGCCCGCCGCCATTAAACCCCAAAATAGATCCTCCTCACCGAGTGTTGCGCCAGATATGACCCAACCACTTTTTGGTTCAACATCAACGGTAACCGACCGGAGATTGAACAGATCGAGGAGGTTGAAAGGGAGGCTAAGACGTACAGAGGCTGAGACGTAGAGAGGCTGTCAAAATCGTGGGTTCTTATCGGCGGATTCAAAGCTGGAGAAGAGTTAGACGGCCCAACAAGCCAGGCACTGGTGTAGAAATGTCATATAAATTACTCAGACAAGCTAGGGTAGTTGAAGTGCACAAGTCCCTCAAATTTTGAATCACGTCCTCGAATTAGCAAGACTTTTAGGCCCGATACTATACCCTGACCCTTAATGAGTGAACCCTAGGTCCTAATCATACAAATCATAAACTATAAACACTAATGATATGATCCTAATAGGGTCAATCATTGATCGAAAATTACTTACCAAAGAAGCTATCAAGGTTGGAAAGAAGAAGGGCAGAATTTGGTTAAGTATACAGACAGTTTCAATGTACCAACTTTGGAGGTATGGTTCTCTTAATTGGCTCAATGAAAATTGGTGTTTGATAGCTTGTTTTGAACATAAACACTTTATCTATAAGTTGGTATGCTTAGTGGCTCAATAGGAAGTCCAGAAGGTCATTTTCCAGACTTGTAAAAATGCTATGAAGAATTCTGGAAACTGCCAAGATTTGACTAAGGCTGAAAACTGTGTTGAGATACCAACTTTGAAGGCCTATATCTGGAGTTTGGAACATGATCTCAGTCTGATTCAAGTTGGAGGTGAAACAGGAAGTTTTATTCTACAAAGGAGAGGAATTGGTTGAATTCGAATCAACCTAGAAGACCATTTTCTAAGGGCTCAAAGATGCTATGAAGCCTGTTTTCCTAGGCAGACTTGCTTGCGTTTTAAGTCAGTTTCTTGGCCAGCAAGTTACCTTGTTTTGAACGAATTATTTAGCCTTTTTCTGTTCTAATTAGTTTCCTAGTTCTATTAGGTTTGTATTAGGTTTGTATTGTCTTTAAATAGCATTCAATTTCACGTTGTAAAGAATCCAAGTTTTAGTTGAATAAAAATCACTCCTACGTGAGTTTGAGTTCTTTGAGTTGTGTCTCAAGAATCAAATCCTTGAGTTAGTTTTGTGAGGATTCCATTGCTAATTCGAGAACCCTTGTGAGGCTTTTCTGTGAGGATTCCAGATTCGTTTTACAAGTTTCTTATCAATCAAGTAATCACCTTGATTGTGGCGAAATTCTACCTATCCGTTTTATCTTTCTTTGAAGAGTTTTGAGCTGCGTATTCTGATAAAACAAACCACCCCCTGGTGCTTTATCAAGTGGTATCAGAGCTTCCGGTTCAAGTCAGTGGCAAGAAGAACTGAAGCCTGAGTTTCGTACTATGGATACCGAGGAGCCGCCCCTACGCCTGGACCTCTCTGATCCCACCGACTTCGCATCCCAGGCGTACTTTCAGCGCATTTGCCTGCCGAACAGTGTGGATGAAGAGTACGTGGCCAGCCAGACGTGGGCCGCTCTCCTCCGTCCGGAGTGGAGGATCCTCAACCATTTGCTCTGCACTTCCTACACACCCAACAAAGGTTCATCCAACCGGGTCACACTCCGGACACTCTGGTTCATGGATGCGATGGGTCGTTCTGAGGACACCATCCAGCTGGGCTCTGTGCTCGCCCGCACGTTCACTAAAGCCGCCAACAGCCTGACTCGCAGCCTTGTATGTAGCCTGGTGATCACCGCCTTGGCCCCCCACTTCGGGGTTGACTACACGGGGATGACCTTGGTCCGCGGACCCCCCCGCTCAGCGAGGCCTCCCTCCGCCACCAGCACCTGGTTGCTCGCCACGGGCGTGTGCACTGGATTGCGGGCCTTCCTCAGCCACCTCTACCTGCAGCGGGCGACCAACCCGAGTCGAGTGCCGCTGGTGGGCGCCGCGTTCCACGTCGCGCAGTCCGTCGTGACCAGGCTCCCGCGAGCCCCTCTCCTGCTCCACGGTCTCCTTCTCTAGGGTCTCCTCCTCCAGTGGTGGTGCCCATTTCCGACCAGTTGGCGGCGATCGCTCAGCAGAACGAGCGCATCTTGGCCGGCCAGGAGCGCATCCACACCCGCCTTGATCGTGAGCGGGACCGAGGGCGTCGTCTCATGTCGGGCCAGCACTACATTATGTCCTACTTGGGCTTGGACCCAAACGCGGTCCACTACCCGTTCATGCAGTCCCTAGGGTTTGAGGATGAGTACCCTCCGCCCACTGGTGATGGTGGTGATGCCTTCTAGAGCTGATTCTGTGCTTTATTTGTGTTCCAGACTAAGACTCCATGTTTAGTGGTTTCGTTTTGTTTTGTTTTGTTTTTTTTATCTTGGATTGTAGACTTGGTACTCTGATTTTTATCCCCAGTGTGTGTGTCTTTTGTTGTCTCTAGCTCGGTGCCCGTTGGACTGGTCCTTGTCCAGTTCTCTGCTTTTGACTGGTCCGCCATCCAGTCAACGTTCCTGACCACTGTTTCACGGTAACATCGTTCCCCTTCCCTCTGCTCCATTGAGGACATTGTCGCGTTTAAGTGTGGGGGGGTTCTTTGTATGAATTGGAACGTATATATGTGTGCTTGGAGCCTAGTCCACTGTCCAAATCTCGAGATTTGAGGGCTCCAAGCACGGCTGTTTGCTTGATGTTTGATCGTATTGGCACTGTGGACGTGATTAGTGAATTGAATGGCTTTTGACTTGATACATGACAACTTGAGTGTGACTAAGACAACTTATTGTGATGAATGATATGTGCAGTAGAATTGTGTAGGGTTCAGTTTTTCAACTGTTTGCTTACCAAATGTGACTTGGTTTGATCACTTGCTTTTGAGATTCATTTATGCATCTAGTTCAGGGAATCAGAACGAGAGATAGAGCATATAGGTAGCCATGTGAGACTTGAGCATGCTCGTTTCTTTCTTGTGCGATAGTTTCCTCTTTCATGATGTGCAGCATTCACGTTGTCATTAGCTAAGATGATGGAGGCATAGGATTAGCCCACGACCAAATTGACTGTCCTGGTGTGTCATACCCCTAGTCAGCCCCTTTGAGCCGTGTGTTTTCCTTTCTTTCGGTCTTCAGTGAAAAGTCACCCTTTTGCATCTTTTAGAAGGTTCCACAGAGTGATTTTTACATGTTTTCTGCTGTTTCTGCTAAACGAAATGTGAGGGTTGGAGGTAGTGCTTAAAAGTTGGGCAGGTGTTTGAAAATGTGCAGAGGTGGTGGTTCTCTTAAGAAATGAAAAATAATGAAAGAAAAACAAAGAAAAAAATGAAAGCAAAAGAAAGCCACCACAAAAAATCTTAGTAATGCCCAGTAAGTAGTGTTTCTTAGCAGTCTGGCTTAGAAATACTAGCATTTATGTAACCTCCTTCGCTCGTATGCTCTGAAGAATTTGAGTAATGCAGAATAGCAGAAAGAAAGTTATTGGTTTGTTTGACTGCGAGTTTGTTGGGTTTGGAAATGTGGAACCTTGTGCTGTATGAACCCAAGTACTGATTCTATGATTTGATTATATTCAATTGAGGTTTGAATGATTGAATGGCATGAATCCTGATCAAATTCCTGTTGTTTCTGCTTTAACCTAGAATGAGGATATCTGCCTAGGTTGATAGAGCATCCTTGATTGAAGGTAGGGAGTTGGTGACTTTAGTCGAGGAGCCAACTCACTATTCTGTACCGAATTCACTTCGGTAGTGGATGTTTTGTTCATTAGGGCCTCAATCTGTTTACTCCGGTGGAGGTTAGTCGCCCGCTAGAGACTCAGATTGAGAGGGTCTGAAGACCTTTAGTCGAGACTTCAGGCTGTTTAAGAACCTTCCGCAGTATAACTATCATAGAAACTGAACTTGGTAATTGTAATCCGGCTTAACTGCAGTCTAGGGGGAACCATATCCGGGTGACCTCTCTTAACCTGAAAACAACAGTTTACTTGCTTTGTTTGTTTGTTAGTTTAGACTTGCATTAAAGTTTCATTGCTAGATAACAAGAATTCACCGAGTAGTCATCAAATCTAGGACCCGGGTTGACATTAAAACCCAAACCCGCTATACTACGATTTAGGAAGTGGTTACACTTGGCCCATTTCTAGAGTGACAGTAGGAGTGAGTTAGTCCTCCCATGACACACCAACCACACAAAGCACTTAACCTTTGTGAGGATTTTAGGCTTCCACAGGAATAATGTTGAAGGGAATGGAGGAATACGTGGGATTTTTTTTTCTTGCACCAAGTACTTGTTCTTTCTCAAGGAGTGCGAATCAGGTGGGATTAGTACGACAAAGTTTGGCAACAGAAATGAGTTCGCGCTTGGTGGCAGGTGCACATAAAACATCGTGAAAATGAAAGGAAGATGACGAGGAATGCAGTTTAGTGGATCCAATATGTGTGATTTGCAAACCTATTCCATCGCCAACTAGAATCTCATCCGGACCAGTGTAATAAGAATAGAGTGACAAGTTGCCTAAATAACCCGTGACATGATGAGAGGCCGCCGAATCAAGTAACCATGGGCTAGAGGAAGCAGCCAGACCAGCAATAGTGTGATTGGCCTGAGACTGACGAGCCTGATAATCCTGGCGGGATTGAGGAAAAAGTTTAAAACACTGACGAACCGA